CTTGGCTTTCCTGGATAACGTGGGGGTGCCAGGCTGTGCCCATTCCTTGGCTTTCCTGGATAAAATGGGGGGTGCCAGGCTGTGCCCACTCCTTGTCTTTCCTGGACAATAAAGACACGAGGCCGGCGCTGCCAGCGGAGGGGACACCGTGGTGGCTTTGGTGACACGGAGGTGGCCCCACGGCCCTGTGCTGTGACACCCCAAAACGAGCAGGGAAAAGCGGCCGGAGGGCCTGGCCCGGCCTCTCGGAGCTGTCGCAAACGCGTGGGTGGAGTTTTTTGGGGTTGGGATTTTAGGGATTTTTTTTATTTTAATTTTCCCGTCTCTCAGGCTGGGTGGTCCCTCCCGCGGAGGGCGCCGGGACGCGGCCCAGCGCCCGGCTCTTTGTGTGCGGCCGGGAGGCTTATTTTTCACTAAAAAAACCTTTTTTGGGCTTTTTCTCCCTTCAAAATCCACCTCATCCCCTTGCCCTAATGTGATTTCTTCCCCCAAACGCGAAATGACACTTCCTCGCAAAAAAAGGTGGGTTTTTTCCCCTCCAAAATTCACTTTTCTTCCCAAAACTTCCCCTCTAAAGAGCTACTCCTCGCCCAAAAAAAGCAAGTTTACTCTAAAAAGCAACCACTCTCCAAAAAAATGGCTTTCCCCCAAAAAACTCCATCTTTTCTCCCCAAAAGGCAACTTTTCTTCCCCCAAAAATCAACTTTTCATCACCCAAAAATTGTCTTTTGTCCCCCCGCAGATTTTTTCCCCCCAGAAAAGTATCTTACCTGTTAAAAAAGAACTTTCCTCCACAAAAATCTTTCCCCTCCCAAAATTGTCTTCTCTCCCCTGAAGTTGATTTTTCCCCGCAAAGAATACTCCCCCCATCAAAAAAAATAGCTTTGTTTTCCCTCAGAAAAAGTGTCTTTTGTCCCAGAAAAGTAACTTTTACTCCCCAAAAAGCAACTTTTCCCTTAAAAAAAAGTAACTTTTCTTCTCCCAGAAATGGCTTCTTTCCCCCACAGGCAACTTTTCAAAAAGTACTCCAAAAAATAACTCCAAAAAGTAACTTTTTACTCACAAAGGNAGTGACTTTTCCTCCCAAAAGGAACATTTTTTTTACAAAAAGGGTGTTCTTCCTCACAAGAGTGACTTTTTTCTCACGAAGTGCAACTTTTGCTTCAGAAAAAAAGAACCTTTTCCTCACAAAAAGTGACTTTTTTCCTCACGTGGGAGTTTTTCTGCACAAAAAGGAACATTTCTCCTCAGAAAAGGGAATATTTTCCCCACAAAATATGACTTTTTCTCACAAAAAGCCACTTTTTCCTCTCAAAATGAACTTTTTCCTCACAAAGGCCTTTTGTGAGGGGGACTTTTTCCTCCCAAAAAAACTTTTCCCTCAAATTTTCCGCGACTTTTTCCCTCACAAAAAGCAACTTTTTCCTCCTAAAAATGAACCTTTCCTCAGAAAAAGGGAACTTTTCCTCACAAAAAGGAACTTTTCCTGACCCAAAGTGACTCCTTGCGAGAGGAACTTTTCCTCACAAAAAGACTCCTTCCTCCAAGAAAAAAAGCATTTCCCTCACTTTTTAGCCACTTTTCCCCTCTCTTTTTAGTCACTTTTTCCTCATAAAAAGGATTTTTTCCTCACAAAAAGGAAACTTTTCCTCAGAAAAATGAAACTTTCCCTGGCCCTTCCTGACTGAGGAAAATTACTCTTTCCTCAGGAGAGGAAGATTTTCCTCACAAAAGGAGACTCTTTCCTCCTAAAAAAAGACTTTTTCCTCACTTTTTAGCCACTTTTTCCTCATAAAAACGAGTTTTTCCCTCACAAAAATGAACTTTTCCTCAGAAAAAGGAAACTTCTCCTGTCCGAGAGCGCCTCTTTCCTCACGAGAGGAACTTTTCCCTCACAAGAGACTCCTTCCTCCCAAAGAAAAAAAAAACATTTCCCTCACTTTTTAGCCATTTTTCCCTCACTTTGTAGCCACTTTTTCCTCATGAAAAGGAATTTTTCCTCACAAAAAGGAACTTTATCTCAGAGAAAGGAACTTTCCCTCAGAAAAAGGAAACTTCTCCTGGCCGAAAGCGCCTCTTTCCTCGCAAGAGGAACTTTTCCCCCACAAGAGACTCCTTCCTCCCAAAGAAAAAAAAAAAAATTTCCCTCACTTTTTAGTGACTTTTTTCTTCACTTTTTAGCCACTTTTTCCTCATGAAAAGGAATTTTTCCTCACAAAAAGGAACTTTTCCTCAGAAAAAGGAAACTTCTCCTGGAAAGAGCCTCTTTCCTCGCAAGAGGAACTTTCCTCACAAAAGGAGACTCTTTCCTCCCAAAAAAAGACTTTTCCCTCACTTTTTACCGACTTTTCCGCTCACTTTTTAGCCACTTTTTCCTCATAAAAAGGAATTTTTCCTCACTAAAATGCAACTTTTCCTCAGAAAAAGGAAACTTCTCCTGACCGAAAGTGCCTCTTTCCTCGCGAGAGGAACTTTTCCCTCACAAAGGAGATTCCTTCCTCCTAAAAAAAAAAGCATTTCTCTCACTTTTTACCAACTTTCCCCCTCTCTTTTTAGCCACTTTTTCCTCATAAAAAGTAATTTTTCCTCACAAAAATGCAACTTTTCCTCAGAAAAAGGAAACTTCTCCTGGCCGAAAGCGCCTCTTTCCTCGTGAGAGGAACTTTTCCCTCACAAAGGAACTTCCTTCCTCCCCAAAAACATCATTTCCCCTCACTTTTTAGCCACTTTTTCCTCATAAAAAGGAATTTTTCTTCACAAAAATGAACTTTCCTTCACATAAAGGAACTTTCCCTCACAAAAAGGAACTTTTCCTCAGAAAAAGTAAACTTCTCCTGACCAAAGGCGCCTCTTTCCTCGCGAGAGGAACTTTTCCCTCACAAAGAGACTCCTTCCTCCCTAAAAAAAAGCATTTCCCTCACTTTTTTCCGGCTTTTCCCTCACTTTTTAGCCACATTTTCCTCATAAAAAGGAATTTTTTCCTCACAAAAAGGAACTTTCCTTGAGGAAAAGGGAACTTTCTCTCAGAAAAAGGAAACTTCTCCTGGCCGAAAGCGCCTCTTTCCTTGCGAGAGGAACTTTTCCCTCACAAAGGAGACTCCTTCCTCCCNCCCAAAAGGAACATTTTTTTACAAAAAGGGTGTTCTTCCTCACAAGAGTGACTTTTTCCTCACAAAGTGCAACTTTTGCTTCAGAAAAAAAGAACCTTTTCCTCACAAAAAGTGACTTTTTTCCTCACGTGGGAGTTTTTCTGCACAAAAAGGAACATTTCTCCTCAGAAAAGGGAATATTTTCCCCACAAAATGTGACTTTTTCTCACAAAAAGCCACTTTTTCCTCTCAAAATGAACTTTTTCCTCACAAAGGCCTTTTGTGAGGGGGACCTTTTCCTCCCAAAAAAAACTTTTCCCTCAATTTTTCAGCGACTTTTTCCCTCACAAAAAGCAACTTTTTCCTCATAAAAATGAACCTTTCCTCAGAAAAAGGGAACTTTTCCTCACAAAAAGAAAACTTTTCCTCACAAAAAGGAACTTTTCCTGACCCAAAGTGACTCTTTCCTCATGAGAGGAAATTTTTCCTCAATAAGGAGACTATTTCCTCCTGGAAAAAAGCATTTCCCCTCACTTTTTAGCAACTTTTTCCTCATAAAAATGAAGCTTTCCTCAGAAAAAGGAACATTTCCCTCAGAAAAAGGAACTTTTCCTGACGGAAAGTGACTCTTTCCTGACGAGAGGAACTTTTCCCTCACAAGAAGAGTCCTTCATCCCCAAAGAAAAGCATTTCCCTCACTTTTTAGCCACTTTTTCCTCATAAAATGGAAATTTTCCTCACAAAATTAACTTTCCCTGAGGCAAAAGGAACTTTCTCTCAGAAAAAGGGAACTTTTCCTCACAAAAATGAACTTTTCCTGACGGAAAGTGACTCCTTGCGAGAGGAACTTTTCCTCACAAAAGAGACTCCTTCCTCCCCCCAAAAAAAAAGCATTTCCCTCAGTTTTACTGACTTTTTCCCTCACTTTTTAGCGACTTTTTCCTCATAAAAATGAACTTTTCCTCACAAAAAGACAACTTTTCCTCAGAAAAAGGGAAGTTTTCCTCAGAAAAAGGAAACTTCTCCTGACCGAAAGCGCCTCTTTCCTCACGAGAGGAATTTTTCTTCACAAAAGGAGACTCTTTCCTCCCAAAAAAAGACATTTCCCTCACTTTTTAGTGACTTTTTTTCTTCACTTTTTATCCACTTTTTCCTCATAAAAAGGAATTTTTTTTCACAAAAAGGAAGTTTTCCTCATAAAAAGGAAACTTTGCCTGACTGAAAGCACCTCTTTCCTCACAAGAGGAACTTTTCCCTCACAAAAAGATTCCTTCCTCACAAAGAAAAAAAAGTATTTCCCTCACTTTTTACCGACTTTTTCCCTCACTTTTTAGCCACTTTTCCCTCATAAAAAGGAATTTTTCCTCACAAAAAGGAAACTTTTCCTCAGAAAAAGGGAAACTTTTCCTGGCCTTTCCTGATTGAGGAAAATTACTCTTTCCTCAGGAGAGGAAGATTTTCCTGACAAAAGGAGACTCTTTCCTCCCAAAAAAACTTTTTCCTCACTTTTTAGCCACATTTTCCTCATAAAAAGGAATTTTTCCTCACAAAAAGGAACGTTCCCTCAGAAAAAGGAAACTTCTCCTGGCCGAAAGCGCCTCTTTCCTCGCAAGAGGATCTTTTCCCTCACAAGAGACTCCTTCCTCCCAAAGAAAAAAAAAAAGCATTTCCTTCACTTTTTAGCCACTTTTTCCTCATAAAAAGGAATTTTTTTCCTCACAAAAAGGAACTTTCCCTGAGGAAAAGGCAACTTTTCCTCAGAAAAAG